CTTCTTTCAAGTCCCAGCTAAAATCTCACCTTCCTGCCAGAAGGCTTTCCCACCTCATCTTCATTCTAGTGCCTCCCCTCTTAATGATTTCCTCTTTATCCTGTACAGAGTTTGTTTGTGATTAGCTGTTTCTGTGTTATCTCCCCCATTAGACTGTAAGCTTCTTGAGGACCAGGACTGTTTTTTACCTTTCTTTGTATTCTCCACATTTAGCACAGTGCCTGGCACAAAGTAGTTGCTTATTGATCCTGGCCTCCTTCATAGCCCTGTGACCTTGCCAAGTCATCTAAGCTTCAAAGCCTTGATTTTCTACCATGTGAAATAAGAAAGGTGGTCTGCACCATTGGGCTGTGGGGCCATTGTGAAGACAGATCATCCCTACAGATCTCCCAGGCATGTGGAAGTGAGAATTGTTACTGCTGCTCTTATGCTACCCCTTCTTCCATGCCCAGCTCCAGGCTTCCTGCTCTCAGTCCTCAACCTTGAGAATATTCAAATTTTGGAAAAGTGGACTTTAGTGCCAAGGATAAATTAGCCATTGGTCATTTGTGCTGATGCCAGAGTTCTCCTGTTTTCACCTCCAAAGAGTAGACTGGAAGCAAGAAGCTTGAGGTTACAAATCTATGTCAGGACACCTTTCTGTAGTCAGCTTCCCTTGTACATCTAAAACATGGTTCATTTTACAAAAAAAAAAATTCCACTCACATTGATTTCCCAGGTGTATTTCTGAAACATAGCTCATCCTAATTTACTGAGATGCAACGTGGATACCATAGGGATACTAAACTCCAGGCCTCCAGAGTAGCCAGGAGCCCTGGTTTTTAGCAAGTTGTTGGTTTTGGTTTGTTTTTTTCCCTTTCCCCTTTGACCAACAGTGTGACATGGAAAACTTCAGTGCTACCCTGAATGTGGCAGCTTTGTGAATAGACAGATGCCCTCATGCCTCAGTGGCTGAAGAGTGAACAGCCAAGACTTGCACATGGCTTCCGTGGGATTCTGCATGGCACGGCTTGGTGCAGTGGCAAGATGGGTTGCCATGTTTGTAGCCAGCGGATCTGGGTTCTAAGGGCCCTCCCGGCTCAGACATTCTTGTTCTAAGGTTCCCCCCAACTACCTCTGACATTCCTTGTTCTAAGGCACCTCCCAACTCTGACATTCCCTGCTCTAAGGTCCCTCCTGGCTCTGACATTCCCTGTTCTAAGGCCTCTCCCAGCTCTTACATTCCCTAAGGGTCCTCTCAGCCCTGACATTCCCTGTTCTAAAGTCTCTCCCAGCTCTCCCAGACCCAGGCCTCTGTCCACTGTCACCGTGATGGGGATTAGGCTAGATGATGTGTGAGGCTCTCCTGGCTGTAAATTCTGTGATCCTCTCCAGGGGCATATGTGGCCTCATACTATTCGTCTGCTAAAGGGAGTGTCTGTCCGCACTGAGGGAAGGCTGAGATCAGGTGGCCAATCTGTCTTGAGCACCAGTGCCTAAAGAGAAGTATATGAGAAGTGAGCCCCCAGCCCTGTCCTCTAGAAGGTCGCCCAGGCTAAGGAAATAAGAGACCAAAACGTTGTTTGGCCGGCTGGACGGCAGGGGTACATCATTGCGTGATGAGGCAGTGTTCCACAAGGGATTTTGTTGGGATGGATGGGTGAAGGAATGAATGGGAGAGGAGGAGAAAGGGAGGGTGGGATCCCTGGGTGCTGCAGGCAGTCCTCCAGGATGGCTTGCAGCCCCATTCACAGGCTTAGAGTCAGGAGGGGCCTTGGAGGCCAGCTCGTCCAAGCCCCACATTTTGCAGAGGAGGGAGGGGTCATGTTCAAGGTCACACTGGTGGTCAGTCACAGATCTAGGGTTCAGACCGACATCCACTGGGCCCTGAGGGGTGCATAGCACTTGCATAGAGAGAGCATTTGCTGTCTTTTTGTGGAATGAGTATTGGACTTGGAGTGTCAGGACCTAGGTTTGAATTCTGCCTTGTGCCCCTTACTACCAGTTTGGCCTTGGCCAAGTTGCTTCCCCTTGTGGGCCACAGTTTCCTTGTCTGTTCAATGAGACGGTTTATAGGAGGACGGGAGCCTAGATTTAGAGCCATGAGGGCCCTTGGGAGACGGTGAATCCTTCATTTTGTGACTTGTCAGGGTCACACAGTAAGTATCTGAGGCAGGAATTAAACTCACATCTTCCTGACTTCTAGCTCCAACGCAGTCCTCTGCACCATGCTCTGGGTGGGACCAGATGCCTTCTGAGATCCCTTTCAGGTCTAAATCCACAATCCCAAAGGGACTTTCCAGGGGTGCATAGAAGTAAAAATCCTTCCATGGTAGTATTGCCCACTCTCCTCCCTCCCCTGTCCTTCGTTCCCCTCCTCAATCATCTCACACGGATGTTGGGCAGGGGTAGCGGTGACCAGTTGTCTACCACTTCTTCAGGCCTGGCAGATTGCCAGAAATCCTGGGCCGACCTGGCCTGGTGACCAGCCAAGTTCCAGAATTCCCCCATAGCCTATCCAGCTCTGCAGAAGAGCAGAAGGGCTCAGGGTCCCCACCAGATCTCTCCCCATTGTTGGAAGCAGTAGCTGCTCTGACGGGCTCCTCGTTCCTGCTTTGACGTTTCTCCCCTTCTATTTCTGACTGCCGCTCCACGTATCCCATTACCTCCCCTCGAATTCAATTTCCGGAGGCCATTGTGTGCCGCCCGAACCCGATGATTATGAAGAAGCAAATGAGAGCTGAGGCCTTGGATGGGGAGGTGGGGAGAGAGGGAGGAGAGGAGAAAACAAGCCGTGTGTGGTCTCCAGCTCAGTCCCAGGGAGCACAGAGCCATCCTCTTCCTTTCTTTCTCAGGCTTCACAACCGGTCACCATAAGATGAAGCCGTCCACCTCCCTCTGCCTAAGCCGGGGCCCAGAACCACCGATCTCTCGGCCCCTGGGAGCTGGCCAGTTCCCATTGATCTCTTTCCCATCCTCCTTCCCACCGCACCATTGACATTACAGCACACTAAGATATGCATAGAACATCATTACCAATACCTTCTGTATGTCCTGTGATTCCTGTTGACTACAGATCAAATTTCTGCTGTGCCACACCATCTCCAGTCTCACCACTGGACTTGGGAGACGCGAAAACATGGGTTCAGATCCCACCTTATTGACCTACTAGCTGCGTGCCCCTAGGCCAAAAATAATAATAAATAGCTAACATTGCTATAGTGCTTACTGTGTTCCAGACATAAGCACTTTACAATTATTATCCCATTTGATCCTCACAACAACCCTTGGGAGGTAGGAGCTATTATTATCCCCATTTTACAGATAAGGAAACTGAGGCAAGCAGATCAAGTGACTTGCCCAGAGTCACACAAGCAGTAAGTGTCTGGTGCTGGATTTGAATTCATGTCTTCCTGGCTCCAGACCCAGAACTCTATCCAGTGGTCCACAAGACACCTAGCCCAGGAGTGGGGAACCTGTGGCCTTGAGGCCACATGTGGCCCTCTACACCCTCAACTGCAGCCCTTTGACTGACTCCAAACTTCACAGAACAAATCCCTAATAAAAGGGTTTGTTCTGTAAAACTTGGACTCAGTCAGAAGGCTGCCCCCAAGGACCTGGAAGGCCACAGGTTCCCCGTCCCGGACCTAGCCTCTTTTGGACTCAGTTTCCTCATATGTAAAATGAGGGTTGGGTCTGATGGCCTGTGAGGTCCCTACTAGCTCTACATCTGTGGTCCTGTGGTCCTTCCCACACAGTCCCAGGTAGCAAAAAGCAGGTGGTGCCTGCCCTCTGCTGCAGACTGATGATATTCTAGAAGGGAGAGCCAGGTGCCAGGCTTCATTGGTCTAGGGAAGCACGGGATGAGGAAGTTCCCTCTACCAATGCAGGTCAGTATCTTGCCTGTAACTTAGAGTCTTAATTGCGTGGCCCCAGTATTTGTCAAAGACAGGACTTGACCTCCTGGCTTCAAGGTCAGCTCTCTCTCCATTCTGCCTCTTGTGTAGGGAGGCTGGTGAGAAAAGGAGGCTTTGCCTGTGTTGATAAAGAAAGATGGGAGAACAGGGGCCACAAAGGGAGAGGTGGGGAGAGCCGCAAGTTGCCCACACCCCAAGCCAGAGCTTCAGTTTGGGAGAGGTCAGGGACACGGTGAAGAGTGTGGAGTTCAAGAGCTGCCTGGATCAGAAAGGCAAGGGAGGCTTGGCTCAGGCTCTGCTTTGGATGGAGTGCCCAGGATCAGGAAGCCGCTTTCATGAACTGCCCTGTTTCAGCCTCCATGTCTAATGAGTGCCAGCTTTGGAGCTGAAGGAGGTCGGCTCAAAGCCCGTCTCTGCTGCTTACTACCTGTGTGACCTTGGCCAAGTTATTTTCCTCCCTCCTCTACAGAGGAAAAATATGAAGGGTTTAGACTACATGGCTTCTAGCCTGCCATCCAACTCCAGATCTGTGAACCTTGGCTGTGACCAAACTGTGACAGCTGGTGAAAAACAGCCCCTTCCACTCCTGTCTCCCCATCCTGTTCCCCACCCTTTCCACAGAGGGGCCCAGAGCCTCCTCTTCCCAAAAAGAAACACCAAATGGGGCGGGGATGGGGCTCCAAAGGCCCGCCCATGCTCCGTGCCTCCCACTTGTCTAAGGCCGAGGTAGTCCAAGTGCGGATGTGTGCCTTTGTTCTCCTTGCTGGGCAGACTTGAGGGTCTCCAGCCTGCCGTCAATACAGTAGGCCAGCAGAGGATGCAATGGGAACACAAGGGATTTTCTCCCAGATATTTTGAAAGGGGCTTACTTTTCCCGAGGGCAGTAGACCACTGAAAAGATGCTTAGAGGGCCACCCAGGCATTCGTCGGGTCAAAGGAGAGGGAGTTGCGGGGGAAAGCCACGTGCTCTTGACTGTGATGAGCCAATGCCTATCTTACAAAATTCATTTTTTTTCCTCCCCTTTGCTCTGTCTTTTCTGTCTTTCTGCCTCCCAACCCTCTCGGCTGTTCATTTCTTCTCTTCTGCCATCTGGGCTCATATAGATTCCCCAAAGAAAAGGCGGTCTGTGGTGTTGGACGAGATCCTGGAGCAGCTGGAGGAGGGCGAGAACGAGGACGGCGAGTAGCAGATACTTCAGCTCCGCTCTGGCGGAGAGAGGTACGTCTTCTGCGTTCCTGCCGGGAGCCGGGGGCGGCCTCTGCACCTTTGGGAAGGGCGGGCAGTCTGGCCTTAGTGGGAGACGGGCAGAGGGGAGAGCAGATGGCCACCGGCCTCTGCAGATTCAGAGTGGAAGGAGATGGTCCCCTCACCGGGGATCCCGTATCTCAGGCCGACACAGCAACAGTCAGCGCCCTGATGTCCGTAGGAGACGCGGCGAGGATGAACGGCAGATTTCTGGGTTCAGACTCAAGAAGAGACAGGCTCCCGGAACCTCAGAACTAGGAGCGACCTCGAAGGACTTTCACAGTGCCCCGCAGCCGAATAGGGGTCCCCCCCGAGGGTGGAGAGAATTCCCTTCTGTGTACCAGTGTCGCGGGGGCCTGGCGCACAGTAGGCTCTTAATAAACGCTTGCTGGTTGCTTGATCTCTGGCCGCCACCTGAGAGTCGCTAGTGAGGGGAGCCCCTTGAGGATGCCCATCCTGACATCTTCTGCCTCTTAACCACCGCCCGTTGCCCTCCGGAGCCCGGCAGACCCTCTTCCCGTGCCGGAGGGCCGGGCACTTCTTCCTGAGCCATTTTCAAATGGCTCCCAGTCCTCTCTCCATCCTGGACGTGTTCTGTTTAGGATGTTCTTCTGGAATCATAGCCCAGAACAGAACAGAGCCTCGAGATGCGGCTTGACCAGAAGCAAGTAGAGCGGGCCTTCTTGCCTCCTCAAGATGCAGCCGAAGAGTCTGTCAGCTCTTTGTTGGCCCCCTTGCCACGCTGTTGGCTCACTGGGCTTGTGGTCCACTTACAATCACAGTGTCTTTTTTAGCTGGCACATGGTATCAGCCGCAGTTCTTTTTTTTTTTTTTTTGGCTAGACAGTGGGGTTAAGTGACTTGCCCAGGGTCACACAGCTAGTAAGTGTTATGTGTCTGAGGCCAGATTTGAACTCAGGTCCTCCTGAATCCAGGGCCGCTGCTCTATCCACTTCGCCACCTAGCTGCCCCCTAGCCGCAGTTCTTAATCCCCACATCCAAGCAGCCCCTGACCCCACATGGCCATTCTGGTTTGGAAATTGTCTCCTGGCACCACTCTTTTGGTATTCTAGTCGTCTTCCTATCTCGGAACAAAGACGGGGAGGACATCTAATGCTCTGGATTCAGACTCAAAGGAAGACCTGGGTTCTAAACCTGTGTCTTGCTAGCTAGGTGAAGTGGGTCTTCATTCCGTTACCTGTAAGCTCAGAAAATTGGACTAGACAGCATCCTCCCAGGGCCCTTCTGATTCTAAGTCTGTGATCCTCTGACCAGTGGCAGAACGACAGAGTGGAACATGCCAAGTTCTAGACTGCATGGTCCTTTACCTTCCAAGCAAAACTCGTTACTGGGGGAGAAGCTTTGTCCTGGCTTCAGCCCTACCCCAGCCACCTGCCCTCGCCTCCCTCCAGGGATCCATGCCTGTGCTGATCTCCCTGTCATGGGCCCTCTAACCCTTCCCGTGCCTCCCTTTGTGCTGGACTGGGGGAGCCTTGAAGGGCTAGAGATCCTTCCTTGGTCTGTGTGTAACTCCGGTGCCTCCAGGTCATGTCGGTGTGAGAGGGCCAGGCGCCTGAGGAAGCCGCTCACGAAATGCAGCATTCCACCCCAGAGAGCAGTGTAAATGGAGCCTGGGCTGGTAATGGGCAGAAGTAACAAGTGAGTAGGTGTGTATACACACACACACACACACACACACACACACACACACACACACACACACACCCGCAGCCAGTGAGCTGCCACGTCCCATCTCCTCAACATCTCCAATTAATAAGCATTTATTAAGCATCTACTGTATGCCAGGCACTGTCCCTGCCCTCAAGGAGCTCACAGTCTGATGGCGGAAACAACAAGCAAACAAATATATGCAGATAAACAGTGCGCAAGATAGATAGGAAATACCTACCTGAAGGAAGACACTAGAATTAGGAGGGCTCAGGAAAGGCTTCTTGTAGAAGGTGGGATTTTAGCTGGAACTTGAAGGAACCCTAGGAAGTCAGGAGGCAGACATGAGGAGGGAGAGCATTCCAGGCATGGGGCACAGCCAGTGCAAATGCTTGGAGGCTAGAGATGGAATGTCTTCTTTGTGGAACAAACGGGAAGCCAGTGTCACATCTGTCACACCCCCATCACCCAATCAGGCTCTTAAGCATCCTTTGCCTGACCACTGTTGGTCTCCCTGCCTTTCCAGTTCATCTTCCATACAATTACCAAAATTATCTTCTTGAAATACAGATCTGATCACATCACTTCTTCACTCAAGAATCTTCTGTGGCTCCCTGTTATTGTCTGCAAAATAAATTACAGAATTTTCCACTTAGCATTTAAAGCCCCTCACAGGCTGCTTTTCTTTCAGAGACTGACTTTCTGAGCTCATTTCACATGCCGGCCAGTCAGCCTGCTTGTGGGTTTCTGAACCGAGCGGTCCATCCGTCTTCTACCTGCTTGGCTCCTTCCTTCTTCAGTCCATCTCCTAGAAGCCTGAGCTTTCTTCAAGGTTCAGGCCACTCAGCACTTCCTTCAGGAAGCCCCTTCCAATTCCACACCTTGTTATTGTCACCATCTTCCCAAATTATGTTATGTTTATTCATCTGGGTAACTAGACAAGTTTGTTTATGTAATGTATGTACCTGCATCATCATGTCCAGTTAGTCATAAAACATAAGTTCCCTGAGGGCAGGGACTATTTATTACTTAATCTTTGGATCCCCGGCACTTTTTTTTTTCCGTAGACCTAGGATTTTATCAATATCAGGTGCTCCCATTGTCGATTCTTTTTCCACTGATGTGGTTTAGCAGCTTCTCTGCAAATTATGGCTGCCTGTGCCCTGAGTGGTTAAGCAGTTCTCCCACAGTTACACGAATGTATCAGATGCAGGACCTGAATCTGGTTAAAAGGAAGTGCCTCCTAAATTACCTTGTCACACCCACTCCACCCCCTAAGGTCCAGTGAGCCCCTCTGACCTCTAAGGTCAACAATAAAACCCCCTATTTGGCAGTCAAAGCCCTTCATGAGCTGGCATCCCCTCCTCCACCTTTCTGGTCTGTGCTCTCCAGCACTCTGCAGTGCAGTGACACCCACCACCTCGTTGCCCTTCCGTGCTTCGCCTCTGGGCATTTCCCTTGGCTCTTCATCTCTGCTCCAGACTCAGCCAGAGTCCTGCGCTTCCAGGAAGCACGCCTGAGCCTCCTGGGGGGTTCTCTCCAGGTCATCCTGCCAGTGGCTCATTTCTGCACAGTTGTCATCTCCTGCATTCGACTTTGATGAGCTCTGTTTGAGAGCAAGGACTATTTTTTGCCTTTTTTTGCATCCCTAGCATTAGCACAGGGCCTGGCATGCAGTAAGCACTCCTTAAGTGTTTATTGATTCACTGACTGATCTCAGTGTCAGTGAATGCCCCTTCCCCCCATGAAGAAGCCTATATTGTCCATAGGTGGATATGTCCAATATCACTATTAATGTAATTATGCCACTTGTAAAAAAAATACATATGTATATAAATAGCTTATAGTAATCTAATTGTGCAGCTTGTAATGTATATGTATATATACATTTATATATATATATACATATATATACACATATATACATATATATATACACATATATACATACATATTGCAAGCTGTATATATATTTCTATACAGTATATGTTTATACACACACACACACACACACACACACACACACACACACACACACACATACACATACCCTTAGCTTTATCAGGTGTCCCTAGCATAGCAAAGGGGTACTGAAAAAAAAAAACATTTTTTTAACCCACAACCAAGATGATTATACTTAGGAGCCAGATAGTAGCCTTATGGTGACTTCCCCACTGGGATAGATCTGTGGTTTAAGCCATATAGATACACCATGACACTAGGGCAGTTCACAACCCAACTTGTACCTTCTCAGCCAGGCCTTTCTATAAATCCCCTTTCAGGATCCACCCACTGAGTGCCCTGGGTATTTTCCTGGTCCTATCTTATTTCAGAGATGGCAGTGTAATATTTGGACCATCTTCACTCTTACTCACTGACCAGCCCACTTCCTTTTCCAGTTATTTATGACTTTGAGGATGCCTTTGATGACAGTGACTTCCATATTCTAGACCAGGGATCAGCAAACCGTTAATATTTTAAAGTGTGTAAAATCATTCTTAGCTCTGGAGCTAACCAATGGTGGCCAGACTTGGCCCTTGGACATAATTTGCAGACCCTCTGTTCTAGACCAAGGCCCGTTGCAAAGGGCCTACAACTCTATATGGGGCACACCAAATGCCACTGGGACCTAGGGTGTTTTCTTGGTCCACTGGTGCTAATGGTCTGCAGTGACTGTTGGGGGTAGATGCAGGGGCACGTGTGAAATTACTTGATATTGAAAGGGGTCCTCATCCTCAGGAAGATTGGGAACCACCTTTCTCACATACAAGTCATCATTAGTCATGTGCTGCAGCCTACTTTGGCCCACACCGTGCATCTCTCAGAAAGTATGTGACATAAACACAGATATATCCCTATCATTGTCTCCTTCACTGAGCTCAACCTGGACTATCCAGATGTGCTTTGGGCCCCTGTTGAGGAAAGAAGGCTTTATCTAAAAAATCTAATGCCAAACCCCAGGCTGAGAACAGGTTATTCAACGTAAAAGTCATCTATGAATTGGCTGGTTGTTGATTGGCATTGAGCAGTTAGCAGCCAGACAGAGGTGAAATCCAGCCCAACACTCCTTAGGGGTTCAGGCGTCCTTTGTGGTGAGGATTAGAGCTTGTAAGAAACTGTAGAAAATAGTAGAAGTCAGCACTCCTGAGCTCAGTGCTGCCCCTGGCTCACTGGGTAACCCTCCCATCTATTAGCTTGGGTCTCCTCATTTGGAAAGTAAAGGGATTAGGCTGGAAGCAGGGGTAGAGAATGCATGTGGCCTTGAGGCTGCAGGTTCTCCATCCCTAGAGATGGTCTCTGAGGCAC